AAGCCATAGGGCGATAAGCTTTATACACATGTATGCGACGACCTGATCTTGAAATTTGAGATCAAGCTCAGCCTGGTGGGGCATCCAAAACGAGCATGCTGAGGCATTATCTGGCATGTGCGGCACCGCAATCTGTGAAGAAATTGCGAAAGCGACTAGTTTTGAATCTTGCGCATGTATAGATTTCGTCGCGATCATCGGGACCTTTGTAAGTGTGCGAGCTATATATGCATGCCCCTAGTGGCGGAGAACCCGGTAGCTTCGAAGCTTAGGGTCGCGATTTAGTTCGGCGATTGTGTTCTTGGAACCTTGGCATCGGGACTTAAGTGTTTTTCAGCCCTTGCTTTTGAAGCCACTTGTTGCTAAGTGTTTTTGTTCAGCCCTTGCTGTTGCAACCGCCTTCTTGCTGTTATCGTTCGAGGACCAGTGTTGTTTAGCCCTTGCTTAAGCACCCATTTTCTTGCTGTGATTTCTCGTCATGAAGCAGTATGGGGCGAAATCAAGCCCGTGCTTAAGCACCCACTTTCCTGCTGTGATTTCTCGTTTGGAGCGAAATCAAGCCCTTGCTTAAGCACCCGCTTTCTTGCTGTGATTTCTCGTCGTGAAGTGGTTTGGAGCGAAATCAAATCGATCATTATGAGCATCAGCCCGTTTGTGCGGCCTGGGAAAATGGCGGCGGTCAAAGGGAAACTTATTCCCGGTTTGCTTTTGCAACTGGTGTCTTACTGTTCTCTTTCGACGAGCAGCGTTTTCTAGTAGTTGTAGTAGTCGTCGTAGTCGTCGTCGTCGTAGTCGTGCTAGAACTAGCGAGCTAGCACTAGTACTATTACTAGTGCTACGGTTGATGATATAAATCCTGCATTACCTTAAGGACCCTAAACTATGGGAATTATGGTATATTCCTTATTATGGGTCATGCAGGATTTATATCATCAACCGTAGTACTATGATGCTCGCTCCCAGTGGGCCTGTTTGGTTATGTTCAAAAGATTTGGGCCGATTTGGGGAGCCTATGTAATTATTCGTATACGTAGAGGGGATAGCACCCATGCACCCAAACCCAATTTGTCTAGATGAAAGCAAACAATATGCAGGCAGCTGATGGCTTCCGCTTGGACGTGGATGCGGTATCCGCTGCCGTAAAGGATGTAGACCCTTGGAAGCAAACCATAAGCCCTTAAGCACAAACCCTAAACCCTAGACCCCAATGCAATCCGAGGAGTCGCCAGGATCGTGGGCCGAGGCTGAGCTGGGCGATGTGCGCATTTTCCTGATTTTGGAAGCTCACAGGGGTTCTTGGACTCCGTTGAAGGACGTGCCTTTGTAGGGTAGAGGGGTTTGAAGCTTAATCAACTAGAACTTGCAATCCGACGAGAGTAGGCATTACTTACTTGGAGGGGCAGGGGACTTAGTAAGTCGTTTATTATATATATATAAGGTAACTCCATTTAGGGTACATTTAACTCTACTTATAACCTACTTACTAAGTCCCCTGCCACTCCAAGTAGCTTTGACTATATATAGCTTCCGTTGAAGGACGTGCCTTTGTAGGGTAGGGGGGTTTGAAGCTTAATCAACTAGAACTTGCGATCCGACGAGAGTAGGCATTACTTACTTGGAGGGGCAAGGGACTTAGTAAGTCGTTTATTATATATATATATAGGGTAACTCCATGTAGGGTACCTTTAACTCTACTTATAACCTACTTACTAAGTCCCCTGCCACTCCAAGTAGCTTTGACTATATATAGCGCTTTATCATACCATGAGGCATCAGGTCTTTGCCTTGGCGGGTTGCTTACTACATGCCGTCAGATGTGTATATTGTATATATGCTGCAAGTATAAATCGGGCCTTACTTATAAATATCGGTGTATTACAAATATGATTCAGGATACATCCCAAAGTAGATACAGAGAATTCATGGATGGCAGCTAGCATGCATAGTCGTCCTACCATAAGCATCTCCGGAAGCTTTTGTGGCCGGGGTTGGGGTTATGTGGCTTGGAAGAAATTCGATGGAAAGGTTGCGGCTTGCTTATTAAGCCATTAGCTATCCGGTTTAGATACTGATCCAGGTAGCCCCGCTCTCCCCTTCCCGACTTGGAGAGTATAATGCATATGCCCTGAATTCCGAATACTCAAGGCACACCACACCTCCAATGTTTGTGTAATGCTCCAAACCTTAGCTGCAACATCTTTATTGGCACGGTCGCTTCTGCTTAGAGATCCTTCGGTACTGTTGGCACTGTTGCTTCTGTTTGGAGAGGCCTTGCCGCCCCTATCTATATAGATGTCTGACTATATAGTATACGTACACAGCAGCAATCCCAACAAGTGTTTACGTCAGGTGTTGCAACGATACCTTTTAGTACCACCCGCTCTTTGGGCGCACAAATTCGACAATGCTGTGCTGAGCTCCTCATCACACAGCGGCCACTCGCATCACTGTCTGCTTACGCTCTTATTATAGGAATGTGGTTGTCCCAACAATTATAAACTAGTTTTATAAATACCATATAACCTACACCCTAAAACTTGCACTCTAAACCTACACCCTGTATAAAGCAGCGAAGCTCCAAGCTTTAAGCCCTAAACCCTAGTCTCCTTAGCCTCCATAAACAATCGGTTCGCTCCGTCCCGGGTGCTGTTATATCTGTTTACCGACCCTGTCATCCATAAGCTCCTTAAACCACACACACATCGACCTGATTGAAGTCTTTATGTTGGCTCATAAATTGCAGCCGTGGTGATTGGAGCTGGTCGCAGCAAGTGCAGCGGGATACATAGCGCCCAGACGGCATCCTGGTCCGTGCAGCTGCAATATGTGATCCCACATTTGGACTACAAAGTGCCATGTGACAGTGGGTGTTCTATAGCTGGGTTGGGGTTGGGTACCTATAGCGCGTGAGTTCGCGTGAGTTTGCGTGAGTTTGCGTGAGTTTCAACATGAAAGGACGCTTCAGAGAAGTCCTCGCGTGAGTTTGCGTGAGTTTGCGTGAATTTGGTATGATCTAGCAGCAGCTGTACGATATAGCGTGCACAACCGTTGCTCGCGCTTGTGATCCGGATCTGTCCGAGCTCTTTCTGATGCAATGGGGTAAAGAATATTGTCTTCTGGCTGTGATGAGCCGATGTCTTCTACGATCGTGCAGCGAGACGAGTCAGCATGACAGCTTTGGTTATTGTCAACAACAAGAAATGTAAATACAGTGCTAGATGTGTGAAGCGAATTTGTGTACGTAACAGCAGGCACTCTTTGATCAAAGGCCCTGGGCTTTATCGCCTCGGTTCGGCGACCATGCCGAAACGTGTGAAGGAACCTGCGAAGATTCCAAAAGACGTTCAAGATATGGTGAAGAATGCCATGTCGATGTATGGTGGAGTAGCCCCTGCCGCAAAGGCCTCCCGACCTTTGGCGACCCCATCACGATCACATGGGGTCCCTCCCCAGGTGCTTCCAGAAGCGGAGCCTGCGACCCCAGCCCTGGCTAAGGCGGCTCCTGCAACCCCTATATCGACACCCCTGAAGGAGCCCTTAAACAAGCGGTACAGATCGATTGCTTCCCTCCCGAGCACCGACAGCTTGCCCCGTTTGCCTAGCTTCGGTGCAACATCCTCAGAGAAGCCTTCGGCCCCACGGCACACGGACACGCAGTCTACGATCAACACAGAAGTTCTGGATGGCATTGCCAATCTACACATCTCAGGAGGCCCAAGCTCGCTGAAGTATCGGCTATGTTATTAATTTTATGATAACCCTAGGATCTAAATAACCTCTAAACTGAAAGCACTGCAGGAGGTTCATCCGAGAGTCTACAACCTCATGATGATGTGGCCAATAGTGCAGCTGCGCCCGCCGGAGCTGTGCCTTGCAATGCATTTCCCGGTTTAGGGGTTTAGGGGTTTAGGGGTTTAGGGGTTTAGGGGTTTAGGGGTTAGGGGTTTAGGGGTTTAGGGGTTTAGGGGTTTAGGGGTTTAGGGGTTTAGGGTTTTAGGGGTTTAGGGGTTTAGGGGTTTAGGGTTTAGGGTTCCATGAGGTTTTGCAGGGTGTGTGTGTGTGTGTGTGTGTGTGTTCTAGCTTGATCCAGGACTTTGCTCGGAGGGGTTGCTTCTGCAAGGTTTGAGGGCTTGGGGAGTTTCGGGTTAGAGGGTTTTTGTGTGTGGAATCAGAGCTTGAGGATTTCACTGTTATCGTTCTCCAACTGGACATTCACAATCATTGAGTCCGGGTGCGGGGTTAACCATCGATTGTCAGGGCTTCGAAATCAGGGGCCCCATCACGAGAATCCCACTTGAACCTCCGTTTATAATTCGAGTTGTAAACACTCTATATATAGTTATATTATATACATATATATATATAGCGATCAAGACAGCGCAAACCCTAAACCCCCTCACAAACAAAAACCCAAACTACCCGCAAAACCCAAGCGCCACATACCCTAAACAATAAATCCCCTCCTAACCTAAACCTAAACCCTGTACCCTCAAGCACCAGACGCCCTACATAAACCGTAAACCCTTCGATTCTAATCTCATACAGATTATATACTGTCGATGACGACACCGAGGAGCCTCAGAGCGTCCAGTGCTGTATGTGCTGGGAGCTATTCAAGGCGAGTGACATTGTGGAGAAGGAGAGTGTGCAGTTGCTTATATTATATTAGGTATAAATATCTGTTTCCCTATATTGAGATCTGGAAAAATAAGTTGTCATACATATATATATATATATATGTACACTGTATCATTCGAGTTATAATGTATGTATATATTTATTATATACATGCATGTATATATATATATATATGTAACTTGTTTCCTTGTGATTGTACCATGTGGGTTCAGGACGGTATGATGTTCTGTGGTGCCGCATGCATGGATGCGGCTGAGCCTACGCAGATTGGGTCTGATAGAGCTCGAGCTGGTCTTCTCATTTCGGATGGGGGCTCCCTTGAAACTTTGCCTGAGTCGCTGCCTGGTGACAACCAGAGTGCTATGGATGATGAACACGAGTGTGCGGATGATGATGATGAAATCCTAAAGGAGCTGGAGAGTCAGGTTTTTGGCGAGGGTGATGATGCTGATGCGGGGGGTGCCCCACCAACCCCGCCTCCAGCCAACCCACCTCCGGATACCACGCCACCCCCAGCACCGGCACCGACTCCGTCGACGACCGCAACAGCCGGCGACACCCGAGTCCAAGAGCTCGAAGCGCAACTTGGTGCTGTGCAACAGATGCTGCAGATGCTGCTAGCACAAAACGGCAGCACAAGTGCCAGTTTGAATCCAGAAACCGTCCACACTTTGCTGAGACGACCAGCGACAACGGACATTGAAACACACACGGCCCGACCAAAGGCTTCCGTAGCACCCAGCTCAAAGACATTCGGCTTGCTGACCAAGGAAGGAATGGCACAGCTTTTCGGTGAGACATCGCCAGCAACAGCTCCGAATGCCACGTCAGTTCCGGCCAACCCAATTGCAACAGCTCCGACGGCAGCACCCGCTGCAACAACAGTTGGGGATACCCCAACAGGTCCCAAGGCAGCACCCAAAGCTCCCCCAATTTTGGGTGTCAGATCAGTTCCGCCAGCATCCAGGGTAACCTTTGCGCAGCCAAAAGCAGTGCCCGACGCCCCTGCAGCAACAGTTCCGGATGCATCAGCGCCGAACGCAACACCCTTGGCCCCTGCAGCAACAGTTCCGGATTCATCAGCGCCGAATCCGAAAGCTACACCCGTCACCCCTGCAGCAACAGTTCCGGATGCATCACCGCCGACTCCGAAGGCAACACCCCTGACCCGTGCAGCAACAGTTCCGGATTCATCAGCGCCGAATCCGAAAGCAACACCCGTGGCCCCTGCATCAACAGCTCCGGATGCATCAACGCCGAATCCGAAAGCAACACCCGTGGCCCCTGCATCACCAGTTCCTGGTTCATCAGCGCCGAATCCGAAAGCAACACCCGTGGCCCCTGCATCAACAGTGCCGGATGCATCAACGCCGAATCCGAAAGCAACACCCGTGGCCCCTGCACCACCAGTGCCGGGTTCATCAGCGCCGAATCCGAAAGCAACACCCGTGGCCCCTGCAGCACCAGTTCCGGGTTCATCAGCGCCGAATCCGAAAGCAACACCCGTGGCCCCTGCAGCGGCAGCTCCGAATGCAGAGGAGGAAGAAGAGGAGGAGACGCCAGAGGAAAGGGCAGCACGAGAGGAGAAAGAGCGCTTGAAGAGGGAAGCGCATGCAGACTGGATGCGATACAACCGAAGCTTGCGCAACTTGTCCTGAGCCAATGAATGTACTAAGATACTATCCCAGCAGGCCAACCCACCCAGCCCAACCCAACCCAACCCAACACATCTCTCTAACTCTCTAGCTTTCTCGATCTCTTTAAAGGTTTGTATAATAACATGTAATCATAAACTTATTTATATTTATATATACATATCTATATATTCACTTTTTATGTTAATTCTTCTTAAAACTAAACCTTCTTCTTAAACCATTATAAAAAGAGAAAATATATATGTATCTAAATATATGTCTTACTATATATTACCTACAAGTACCCAGGTCATCCAGACGTGCCTCCCGAAGTGTGGTGCAAGGCATTCCACCCGGATGGTCGGCCTCGTCAGGCGCTTACACTATACGTACTTTCTAGGCACAAGTCGACATTCAATACGTATTGGCATGAGACGAGAACTTGCAAAAACTTAGGCCAACGACATGTCTTGCGCCATCTCTTTGAAGTTTTCGTGTCAGCCGGAGAAAATTGGCTGGAGTCGAGCATCGTGCTTAATGCTCGTCGAAAGAATGCAAATCGGCGAAGGGGCAAGTTCATTTGGATCACTTTCGAAGATCTGGTCAAAAAGTCCCTTGCCTTGAATCCCGGACCTCATGCTATGTAGACGTCATGATGATTTCATCCAATAAACGTCATTACACGATGCGGTTGTACTGAGGCACGGCGAATCGACGGCCCTTCAGATCAAGACCTCTAAAAAGGAGTTGGATCCGAATTGCACTGGCAAGCATTGGATGCTGCACCCCGATGTTCCAGACAAAGAAGACCCTCGACCATTTTAGCTATACGTAAATATATATATATATATATATATACACACCAGAATAACTAACATTACATAATACTATAGTCTATTATTAGACCATAGTGACTAGCCGGCCCTACAAAACCAGCTGCATAATGTTCCAAACTCTAGCACAGGAGTGGCAGCTGCTTCGAGTATTTGATGGTAAGATCGAGACAGAAGAGGAAGACTCAGAGACTGAGCACATCTTCGAGATGGGTGGCAATATCTCGGGGAAGGGAGCTGGCAAGGTTGGGTGCTTCGCTTCATTATGTGCTTGCAAACCTTGTCACTTCGAAATCACAATGCACCTCTGCATGTATCTAGGCAATCTACCCCAGGCATGCCTAACTAAGGGCTGCGCTCTTGGGCGTTACTGCACCGACGCCTGGAGCAAACAACACGACAACGACACCTGAGCCCTCGAATCCGAAAGGAAAGGGCAAGGGCAAGAACGGCAATCCGAAGGCAAAGGCTAAACCGCCGCAAAAGGTAGCCCTGGATCTCGTGTCCAAGGGTGCCTTGGCGGTGGTCGACGCGGGCTCGCTCTACGAGCAGTGCATCCAGGGCAATGTGTGCCTCGATTCCAATATACCTTGGATTCGGATGTATATCCTAATTAATATAAGAACCTTAGACACCTAAACCCCAAAAGAACTTTCGGCCGTAGACCCTAAACCCTAAAGAACCGTAGACCCTATTATAGCTCTGGGTTTATGACCTGATTCCTCGGTGGGGCCTTGGGGCTTAAGTTTGCGGTTTGGGGTTTGAGGATTTACGTTTGGGGTTTAGGGTTTTGGGTTTAAAGACTATAATTAGATCTTTATAATACAATGGTTTGGGGATTAAGGACTTTAGGATTGAGGGTGATTGTCGGTCCACGTCAGTGTCATATGTACCCGTGGCCGCCACCCTGATCACCATGATCATGAAGCCGTCGAACCTACCGCAACACTATATGCTTGAAACCTCCCAAAGAGCCGAAACTCCTAAACCCAAGAGCGTCTAGAATAAGCCTTACACGTGGAATTGTTTTGCACATGCCCTTCAGACCCGAGTATCGGGTTTCGGCTGATGCTGGGAAGTCATAGATCAGTATTCGGGTCTAGCATTTCCGGGTAATAATACGGTGCGAATGCCTACATATCTCTTTCCCACAGGATCAGAAGTCCCGAGGACCATGATGGATTGCATTACAATTTTCGTGTTCAGGCTTAAAGCCCAGTGGGGCTTCGATGTATCAACCCCTATAACTTAGAAGCTGCCCCCACCCTGTAATAGTGGTATAATAGGAATATAGGGCCCTAATCTAATTCTATATAATCCTTATGGCCGCTATTACAGGGTGGGGGCAGCTTCTAACCTATAACCTTACATAATTATTCTATGTTTCCCTATATGAATCCGATGCCAAAGCCCGCAGCCACCATCCGCACCGATGGCATAGTTCCTCAGAACCAGCAGCATGTCGGTAGACAGTCAAACCAAGGGAACAGGGAATCATGTTAGGGCTTACATTTGTAAATGTGGTTACTTCTATACGAAGATGTCTATATGCAAGTTCCATTGTATAGGTATGACTCGAAGTCAGGATTGCACTAAATAATTTTTTTAGTATACATATATGTATATATACTAAACCTATGACTCCCGTGTTGGGCATATAGCTTTCTTTTCGATGTTCACCAGAAACCGTTTTGCCCAGGACAGCTAACTTTGCCTCGGCGCTCATCAAGGATGTGGAGCCGTCGATTGCTGCTATGAAGGATGCTGTGAATGCCCTCCAAGCCCATATCGGAAAGGTCACCCCGGACCAGCTGGCAGTCTATAACAACAGTGCAGAGCAGGCCCTGAAAGCCTACGAGGAAGCTGTAGGCACGATCAAACGCACTATTGCTATCAACAAGCCCAAGACGACTAAGCCGTCGAAGAAGCATGCGAAGGCGAAGTCAGCCTCATGAGAGTGCCGACTAGTTTCATGATAAGTTTTGCTAGAGGTGCTGCTGCCCTCATCGTGGGGTCGGAGAGATTGCCGCCGCGACACTGCAAAGCAGTGCGCATGCAAACGTGATCATTAATACGAACCTGGTGCTTTCCACGTGTGCAGTTACAGTTATAGTTATATAGCTTTCATACCGGAGGTGTGCAATCCCGCTACGTGCGGCTGCATAGAGCAGTCTTCAAAGTCCAAATTTGAAGGTCTTAGGATGATCCTGCTGTGGTGTGCTGCTGCGGGCGAAACACACCATGTTGTTTTGCACATGCTTCGACGCTTCGCAATCGAATAACAATTCCTATTGGCTCTTGTCCTCTATTGCGCAGACAGCTCGAGCTTGACATCAAGATTGGTAGCTGCTGTTGGTGGCGGGGCTTCTTGGGCTGCAAATTCCCCCTTGCGATCCGAGTTTCTTCTGAACATCACGTTGAAAATGCTGTGCGCCCAGGAGATCAGCGCCTCGGTTGCTCAAGACATTGCACAATGTGTTCGTGAGGACACGGTGTACACAGGAGTTACATGTTCTGGTCCCTTTGATCCAATGTATAATTATACCAATGGCTTTTTTGCAGGATGTTGGGTCCCGTACGCCGGCTTCGGTCAGCAAGATTGCTAGTGCTGGGAACTTTGGGAGTCAGCAGGGAAATATCCGTCGGGACGTGCATCGAGCCTCACACGCACTGCTCCAGACAGAGGCAGAAACTTCCCAGTAGTAATAATACAAAGTTAGTTTAACGACAGTCTTTAGCAACAGCTATACTACTGTTGATGGACAAAATCCTGCATGACCTTAAGGACCCTAAACTATGGGAACTATGGTATATTCCTTATAACGGGTAATGCAGGATTTTGTCCATCAACAGTAGTAATTGTCAGATAGTTTGGCATCGCGCTTTCCAAATTCTCGCCATCCCGAACAGGCACTGAAGCAGCACTTCATCAAGATCCCTCTGAAGCCGGAACCTTCCGCCCTGAATGAAGAAGCATCGGCAGCTGCTGCCGGTTCCAATGACACGGTTTTGACGGATGTACCCGTACTATGTCCCCATGAAGTCATCATGTACCTTTTGAAAGAGAAGCTTCTGACACTCGACGACTCGGCTGCGAAGCACTTCTGGTCCCACCACCAAACACAAAGCACACCGTGGCTTGGTGACTGCAAACTCGAGAAAGATGGCTACGTAGTACATCCGGTTGCCCTCTACGGTGATGAGTGCGAGTACACTGCGACGAAGGAGAAAGTCCTGATGATATTCTTAAGCTTCCTGGTTTCAAATAGAATTATACAATTAATCATGTGGGGATCAGATACGTAGAGGTGTGCGTCCAAGTATACAATATTGATGACAGCCTTGGGCCCTTTAATTACGTACTACGAGCCACAGACCTAAAAACCAATGCCCTAGATAATCCCAAACCCTAAATCCCAAACCCGAATTAATCACAAAGCCTGAATCCGCACAGAACCCAGCCCGTGCAGAACCCCTCTTTGCCAAATAAACAAGTCTCAGGCCTGCCGCTCTACGATGACCAACTGAAGTCTGTATGGCGCACAAGATTTCCGCTATTCTGCCTGAGAGAAAATCGAATAGCTGGCCCCGAATCCTTGGAGCCAATCTGGCTGTTTATCACATGGTCCCTGAATTGCTGCTACTTGGGCAAGGTTCCCCACAAGGATGTCCACGGCAATGCTTGGCGCAGTCAAGGGCTGCCGCCGGGCCAGGACATTGGGTTCAGGTGCCGACTGTGGGAGATGCGTGGGGACTGGAAATACCATTACCAAGTCTTCGGCTTAAAGTCAACTTGGATGTCGGATTACTGTTGCCATCGCTGCCTGGCTACCAAATCGAAGCCTGTTCATTTGAGCTATGTCGATTTCACTTCCCAACCACGATGGTTGTCAACAGAGCGCAGCCATGAGCAATTCATATCCGAGCAACTTCCTGACGACAGAAGCTGGAACCCGATCCTATTTTGCATTGGATTCAACTTTCGAATGCTGCGGATATGCTCGATGCACACCTGCCAACTTGGAATCGGACTACACTTGAACGGCAGTGCCCTACGCGAATTGTTGGATGCTGGTGCCTTTCCAGGAGCCAGTACTTCGGAGAGATTCACCAAAGCGTTTGGTCATTTCCGGCAGTGGACCAGACAACAAGGCATCAGCTGCTCGCAGAGCTGCTTCAAACCATATATGTTGGTTTCAAAATCCGGAGAGGAGTTCTGCTATTTTCAGACCAAAGACGCTTGGCAGCTGCAACATTTTCGGCAAGACAGCTTGGGGATCGTATAGCTTACTATTTATAGTCCAATCATCTTACGAGAGATGCCCCTAATCGCTTAAAGTATATAGGGCCGGCTTGAGGCTGGCAACTTCCGGTTTATCACATAGACTGCCCTATCAACCCGAAGCCTATAAATGTATTCTAAAATTACTTTAGTGTAGTATGGGGTTAATTAGAGTACTTTTTTATTGGTCCCTATAAATGTATTCTAAAAATACTTTAGTGTAGTATGGGGTTAGAGTACTTTTTTTATTGGTGCTACCAGGCATACAACGGTCGAGTCGTTACTTCGTGGCTTGCGTCGGTTTGTGCAGAAGTT